TTTGGTGCTGCTCAAAGTCACCAGATTGGATTGCTTTTAACTTTTACCTTGTAAACACCTCATTATCATTAAAAATTCTTATATAATCAGGGTGGAGCATAGAGCACCCGGACCCATCATCCTAGCGGAGATGAGGACCCCCCCTAGAGGAAGTTAGGTCCACAGTGTTTACATGCTTATTTATACAATATGTGTGCTCATGCTAACATCATAAGACAAAAGTTGGTTCCGTGTTGTGTGTAGGGAGAACCCGCCAGAGTGAGGGGGGCCCCCAAGCCAAAGCTCGCTTAGGGCCCCCAAAAGTCTAGGGCCGGCCCTGGCTGCAGGCAATCTCTAAATTCTCTACCTTCAAGGTCTCTCCTCCAAACCTCCACACTCCAGCCCGTTCCCACAGCTTTCACAATCAATATGTGCAAAATTATTTCTCGATTAGTATGACCCTGAGAGGGAAAAACACCCTAATAGTAATTATCGTCTTTGTGTTGAGTACGAGTGGGAGAGGAGGGTTAGTTAGCTTTTCAAAATGAGAGTGAATGAGTGGCAGTGACCCCAAGAGAAAGTCAGTATCGCAGTTTGACTTTTAATATGCTCCTAAGAAGTCGAAGCTAAAGGTACAAAGTAAAAGTGTTCTGTTACCGTTAGATATCACTTGGAGTCATGTAAGTGCTCTGACTCACTCTGCTGTCCTTCACACACAATTCAAAGCTGACCTCAGCTCTCCTGGCTGTCTGTCCACAGTCAGTGGAGGAACACATTACCCACAGTCCTCGGCTCTGCCTCGGGGTCTGGTTGGCACCCTAGTATCAATGAAGTCCAACCTTGGTAACCAAGAAGCAGCCAGGTATTAATAGGACTTATTATCCCATTGAGTGGCAATCCAAGTCTGCCTTTGAGCTTTAGAAACCGCGGAAGATAAAGACAAGTAAAGGAGGCTTCAATCTGGTTTGCAGATGACAAGAATAATTCAAGGTACAACTGTCGAGTTCTCCCCCGCACAGTGATTTTGAAGTGCACTCACCAGGGGAGGACGGATTGTTCTGGAGAAAGTGCCTTTTGTCTTTGTGCGTCATTGTTTAGTAGCGAGTTTCAGAACAAGGTGCATTTGGGAAGTGGGTTGGAAAGCCAGGCTGTGACGGTAGCTTCTTTCAGCTCACTGCACCTCTAAAGACTATCATGTGATTTTGTTTTGATATATTGTCTCAAAGGGTTGATGGAATACGTCACCCCAAAAATTATCTTATGTATAACCAATTACATGATCCGTGTCACCTTGAATTTGTAACAAAAATGCTTGATTGTCAAACATGCATCCACGATGAACAAAGAATCCAAAAGCTGAGAAAATTCTTTGGGGTGCGATTAGCAAGAGCAAAACCATATAAAAAAAACATCCCAAACACATTTCTGACAAAATCATATTATTTAAAACACTTATATAAAAAGTGTTTGCACTGACACATAAGATGTATATGAGGAAGTATTTTAAATAGTTTGATTTCAGTGAAAATGCATGTATTTGGGAAGCTGTGAGCATACTGGATAAATACAACTTGGATTTACTATGAGTAATGTCAGAGTTGGTAATAAATATAATTCAATTCATCTAGAGTCTAGACCTTTCACAATTTTGGGATTCTTCATTCCCTGTGGATGCATGTAGGAGAAAGGAAGTTGTCTTTGTCACAACGGTAATGCAGGGTGGGAAATTGATAAACAAATGGTCATTTTTTTAAGGTGAATTATTAATAGCATCATCTGGTACCAGGTGAAGCCTCAGACTGACCCACAGTCATCTCTCCAGCATGAGAACAGTTTACTTCAGTTTACCTCAGGTAGCACCGAGGTGTCCTGTGCTTGGTAACGGTACCAACAAATAGTTTTGTGTCTGGGTCTGAAAAGATGTCTTTGTGTGTAGGCCAAGATGTGGAGGCGGCAGACTTTATGATGCACCATCAACCACACAAGAAGCAGTGTGGCAGGGACAGAGTGTGAGAAACACATGGGCGGACTAATACAAGGAGCTCTTGAGAAACAGATGATAAAAGATAGATGAATTCACGAAAAGGGACAGTGCTAATGCTCTAAAGGCGTAATGCAAACAAATGTGATGCTTTCAGTCTCTCAAAGGGGAATGGTGCCAAATTGTACCCATCGTTTGACATGTCTTCTATGGTAAAAACGTACTTATTATGTTAAAAGAAATCAATGTGTCAAGCCTTTTGGGACTCCAGAGGAAGCTTGACGGGAGTGGAGGAACCAGGTTTTCCAAAGGAAGAAGAATGCATGGAATAAAGATAGATTACATAATTTGTCTTTTCCTAACCACTTTAACTTAAAGGTGGGGTAGGTAATTTTGGAGAAACCAGCTCGAGTGCGCTAGAATTTGAAAATACACGACCAGAAAAAATCTGCTACTTCCTTACAGAGCCCCTCCTCCAACACACACGAACGCACACAAATAGACAATGAGGCCTATCCCCTATAAGTTTGTGCACAGATGTAAGGCTGACAGGCAGGTAGGCCATCCAGTTATTTTAGCCGGGCAGGCTATAAATATGATTGGTCGTACTTTTCACAGATGACATTTTTTTGTGGATTTGATGGACTTAAGATCTCGAGCCGGTTTCTCAAACTTACCTACCCCACCTTTAACCTCAATTGGAAACATCACAAAGACAGCTAGGTGCTAAGAGATCCGACCGAACTTACACTAGGCTACGCTGCAGATAATTTTCCTTAGAAAAAATCACTTCTGTACAATTAAATTAAGGATTCGTGTCCAAAACATGATAAGGAAAAGGATGTCAATATGTTACAGTGAAGCAGCGAAAGCAGATATTAGACAGCAAAATGGTCTGACGGTCCTCTCCTTTTCCCTCATAAGACATGGTCAAGAATATGCAAACAAATATGGTATTAAAGCACTATTTCCTTAGCATTTAGAAAATGTGATCAGCTCCACACTTCTGAGGAATTTCATATTGAGGTCAGACTTAATATGAATAGTAGAAGTTCAATGCTCGGTGGAGTGCTGTTTTACTCACCTCACGACCCCTACAGAGAACACAACATGTAATATAGCATATGTTCTGTAACAAATGAAAAAAAGGGACTTAGTAGAGATTCATTTTTGATAAACATCAGAAATGTATTTAATTTGAAGTTCCAGCAAGATCACTTGATTCCTTACCTTTGTGTATATGTTTCTTTTGCTTCTCATAGTGCTTCCTGTTTTTATTCACTTAAAATGTAAAACTCAGTGCCTCTGGATATTAGAAAGGCAAGCTCTCTATGTGTTTTTGGAGTAACCTTACCATATATAGCCTTAGTTTATAACGCTTTAATCATTGGATCAAAACCATTTTTTATACCTCCTGTTTTAAAGTTTTTTTAATCTGTTTTCATTTATTTGTTGATTTGTAACTTTTTAGTTGTAATTTGAAGACTTGCTAAATTGTATTTATTGATGGTTATTATTGTTGTTATGTAATGCACTTTGGCTGCCGGTTTTAGGAAAGTTGCTATGTTAATACATACAGTTGAATTGAGTAATTATGATTTAATGTGTGTAATATTAAATCACAAATCCATCCGGAAAGCCTTTACTTCCTTCACCTGCTACCTTCTCTTTCATCCCTCTGCTCACACATCATATTTGTCCCCCTGCCGTTCTGGCACACCAACATTTCCTAATCCCCCCTTTTTATTTCCTCTTCTTTATCTCTTTCCTCACTCTGCAGCAAACGGTGCGGCCCACCTTCTTTGCCAGGAAGTTTGAGGCCAGCGTGAACCAGGAGATAGTGAACCAATTGGACTCCTACCTGTACGGAACCTTCCCCCAGGGGACGCAGGGCCTGAACTCCTACTGGGAGAACGTTTACGACGAGCCCGATGGTGTGGCTAGCCTCTCGGACACGCAGCTCACGTACTTCCACTCTTTCTCGAGGCTGGGTCTGGCCCGAGCGGCCGCCTCTCTGCAGGGGAACCCAAAGGATCACAGCTGCAGGTTAGTCTCGTAAACACACATATGCAAATACTCCCTCAGATTAGAACATCATGACGCACCTGCAACAACATCCACAGGTGCACTTCAAAAGGCAGCCACACCCATGTTTGCATAAGAAACCACAACATATCAAAACCTTTAGTGTCACATGTCATTGAAAATAGGATAACAATGAATAGCTCCAATAAGCAGCTCGGAACTCACGGTAATGTTATTTATTTTGTAACATGGTCATAGCATTACAAGCTGTCCCTTCAGGCGTGTTTATTATTAGTGGATATGTATGAATTCCAGTGTGGTTGAAGCGAAAGGGGAGAACCACACTATGCTTTCATATTTAATTGCCAAATGGAACATGCATGCTTCTTCAGTGAGGGTTTTTAACAGCATACAGCATGTTCTCAGCAGCATCTGTCGTAGGAGCATGTTAGTTTAGCGCTGCTGTCGTTTTATTTGCAAAGCGATGAAACAAAGTGATTAAAAAACAGTGACAAACTACATATTCTTTTTCAGAACAGATAGCAGAGGTGTAAACTGCTAATTTATGTGACGGAAAGCTGTGTTTCATAAAAAGGCACCTTGCCTTGAAACAAGAGATAAAACAACAAAAATGACACCTACAGTTGCGGCAAACGTTAAGAGGACATCTTTATGTTCATCTTAATGACATCTTTAAACGAAAACATTACTTCTTTTCCTGCATCAGGCAGGAGAACGGGAGATATACGGAACACAGCATGAAGGCACAAAGTCGTTTTAACAATACATGGAGACGCACTGAGGTTGGGTCTGCTGTAAATTCTGTTTATTGTAATGAGGAAGGTTTCAAAACTCTTCAGGTAAACTGACTGATGGCATCTTGGAGTGCAGAATGACAATGTTAAAGAGTAAATCTACTGAAGGAGGAAACGCAGCAGCGATCGCCTCTTATAAACTGAAATGGTTCTCTCCTCGTAAGGAGAGAACCATTTAGAGCACCGCTGCATTGTGGATGTTCTGTAAAGTCCTGCGGCGAAAGCCGAGCAGAGAAAGGAAGCATGTTTCCATCTGTCAAGCCTCAAAGCCATTTATCGGCTACAGCTGTTTCTACTCATACATAAGAGAGAGCGAGAGCAATCCCAGGACAACTTGGTTACATACATGCACGTCTGTATGTGTGTGTCTTTGCATGTTTAACAGAGGGAGGGAAATCTCCGTCATTGCCAGGAAATGGGCCTGTGAGAAAAACAGATGCCCTCAAGGCAAGCAAGCTAACTTCTAACATTTACACGTTAAAGCACTTTGAAAAAACTGAGAGGCCAAAAGTCAAAAGGCAGGAAGTAGAGATAACTAATGTAAATGTCTGTGTATAATGTATAGGTTGTGTATGTGTGTGAGCGTTTAGGAAAGCAACTCAAGAGTGATGCTGTTTGTGTAAATGTGTATGCATATGTATGAACTGCTTACACACAAACTCCGGTTTTCACTATCCTTAAGGAAATCAGTGATCTAGCCTTAAATGGAGTTGTTCTTAGGTATAGATAAATGTCTCTGTCAACCCATGAGGGATCCAGTTGTTATTGCTGTATTCAATTATATATATACACTATACTGCATAATTATCATATCAATTACACAACCAAACAAACAAATCTTGAATAATTGAAATAAATGCAAGCCTCGTTTAACTGAAGCCAAACTATATTAAAGGACGAGAAGGAGCAGTTCTGCGCAAGCGAGAAACTGAGGATGTGCAAGTGTTTAAAACAATAATGTTTTTAGTGAAAATGCATGTATTTGGGAAAGAGTGAATGACGCTGGATACACAAGACTTGGATTATACTGCAGTTTGTACCCGCTTGTGTTGATAGATTTGCTGTCGTAACTGCAACCCCCATTCACTTTATAACATCAATATCTTCTTAAATGTCAGATCCTTTGTTCACGGTTGTGTCATAGGAGATTAAAAACACCTTAACTTTTAGAATTAAACATAATAAAGGGGGAGAAAGTGATACAATTGTCAGTTTTCGGGATAAAGATTTCCTTTTAGCCTTTTGCGTCTTAACTACTCGTGCAAGTCAGGATGAATTCTACGAGGTGTCTGAAAGCTCGCAAAGCAGTTTTACTGTTGTTTTTCACATAGCTGAGTCCACGTCTTTTCATTGCAATTTATTTGGGATGCAGCCAATTAAACACAGATGGGAAGGCCGGTTCACAATAAAAACAATGATTTAGGTGGTATGTGCCCACCTTTCTGAAATATCTAAAAGCCCAGCAGGATTATATAATGTTTTTTTTCCCAATGTTAATCCGCAACCATCAGGATTCTTTTTAAAGACTAAAACAAATCTTTTCAACCTGAAGTTTTACCTCTTCTCAATTTGAGTAATGCATTTATATTGTGACTCTGTTTTACAAAATAAGCAAGGACATCTGGATAAGGCAGCAGACTTTTAACTTGAGATATAGGTCAAAATAAGACTTTGAGATTGTTGTAAATAATGTCAGACACAATAACGTATTTTTTAAATGCTATTTGACTTGAATGTAATGATAATAAATTAGGCTAAAATGGGGTTAACCCAATATATCATACCCATGTAATATCTAACGTACATTTGACCTGTATGTCAAAAGTGAACACACAGTGTCAACACTACCAGTCCTGCACGGTGTATGCTGTGTTCCTGAATTAATTAAAACATTTTATTAATAAATCACTTAAGGCCATGAATAAAACCCCATTAATCTGAATTATTTGAGAGCTAGATAAGTGTATTATACTAGATTAGGATGTTTATGAATATCATGAAATCGCAAATAGAAAATGTGAGCTTCACAGATCAAGCTGGACAAAAAGGAGAAATACAATTTAAAAATAGCCTCTCAGGATTTTCTTTTAATGGAACCAAACTCACCATGTATGTGTGGAATGACCAAACAAGTCACATGTGGCCTTACTTGTGTTTTATTGATATGGAATGTTTACTTCTCAGGTAAGATTATTAAAACCAGTCAAGGTTTTAACTGCAGATAATTCCTCCCTCTCAACATAAGTCTCATTAGAATCCTGGTTTCAAGTAAGGCCTCATTCGGTATGCCTTGAATATTTGACATGCATGTACAATTTAGATGTGCAACCAACAGACGGCTGGGTCAGCTTCACTATAAAAGGAAAAGGCCAGAGTGAGGGATTTGGCCCTTTTAGCAACCCGCTGTGACTCCAATGGAGAGATGTGGAGTGAAAGCCTGAATGGAGCTTCTGTGCACGCTACGCCCAGACCCCTCCTCACCGCCTCTCTCACTGGCAGCCACATCTCTTTTGGGAAAGACGGGGCAGGGGGAACGAGAGCCGAGGACAAAAGGCAGGATGAAAGAGGGGGAAGAGTGGAGAGGAGCAGAAGAGAGAAAGGCAGATGGAAAAATATAAAAGAAGAGGAAAAAGGGGGGAAAGACAGAGGGTAAGGGAGCAGGAGTGCTCTGCTATCCCTGTGGGTGTAAATATTTGCTGTTCTGCTTGTCAGGGTAGCATTTACCGGGACGGGTTGACTCCTGGTCCTTTAGTAGAATACTGATGAGGGGTGTTGGGGAGCCGGGAGGGGCGGAGTGTGTGTGTGTGTGTGTGTGTGTGTGTGTGTGTGTGTGTGTGTGTGTGTGTGTGTGTGTGTGTGTGTGTGTGTGTGAGACTAAAGACAAGTTCAAGGAAGCAGAAGAGACGAAGGATGAGTGAAAGGAATCAGGACGTGTGCAAAGAGCAGCTGCTGATTGTTCCCCATCCGTGCCCACCCTGGCCTCTTTTTTTCTGTGTTTTCCAGAAGTCGCTCTTCTAGCTGCCCTGAGGGCCACGTACGGAGAAACACACGAACAAACAACTGACTAATCACAGGGGCGAGACCTTCATACGGCTTCAGCTGACTGAATTGACCCAGTTCAACTTTTGTTTCCGCAGACTCGTAATGCGTTTAGTTGGATTGTCTGTCTGTGTGTGTGTTCAGAACTCTGACTAATCTGAATTTGCTGCCACATGTCTTCTGTAACCATCATTTCCACTTTAAAAGCAGAGCACATGTTGGAGCACACAGTAAAGCAATCATTATCATGGAAGAAGGTTGTCATTTACTTACTTAGAGGTACTTTCGCTTCAATAAATGTTTCACTAGTCCATTACTTACATTTAATTTACTACAATAGCCCTGTGCAAGCATTAAAATTGTTTTTGAAAAAGCCCTGGTTATCTAAGTGTTGGCAAGGCAATGCTTAATGGGGATTATCAGCACAGTGGACACATGTCTTTGACCAATTGGTTTTCTTTTAAAGGTCATTGAATTAATGTCACACAATCACAGACCGCATTGACTCCCCCACTAATCTTCAATGCGAGCATGCATTAGCATGTCCAAGGCTGGTTCCTTCCAGGCAGTATCCACATGAATCTTGATATTCTGTCCCTCACACCATTGGCTCTGGAAAGCGGCACAGCTGGTAGGTCAGCAGGTATCCGGTTTACTAATGGGAGCTCTCTATCTCGTTGTTCTGCCAGGTACTTCCCCATGGGTCATCCGGTGTCAGTGCATCTCTACTTCCAGGCAGACCAGTTCCAGGGCTACCTGGTGAAGCACCACGCCACCAACCTGGCAACGAGCAAACTGGAGACCATGGAGACCTGGGTGGCTCCCAAGAAGAACTTTAGGCTAACCACGCCTGCCAGCAGCACATTCAGCAGGTTGCAGCTTGCAGAGGTGAGTCTTTATATTCTCCAGTGTGGCATAGCATTTGTTTTTAATTTACATTGAAGTCATTTGTTTGGCCTGAGTCACAAAGCAATCAGTCGGCAATCATAAAACAGTAAGCACCACATAGGAAAAACACATCTCTGCAGCGTGTAATTAGAGGTGAGAAGTACAGCTCATTGCCAGGGTGGCCTTATATTCATTGCTATGGCGACCTTGCAGAGGCTCACACTGTAGCAGTGCATTCCCCACACAATTAAACTGTTGCCTGTAATGGCCTTGTAAAATGTAAATTGATTGAATTCAACCAAGTTTATAGGGATGAGCGATCCATGTGCTGCTTATTTGTTGTTTCCTAATAGAACGTCTTCTCACCTTCACACTGCAATGCTTCCCTTGATTGTCTTGTTATGTTAATCTGTGCTCCTGTTTACTACAATGCCTGCTTGGGATACAGCAGCTCTGCTGTGATGAGACGGACACAGAGTGCCTTTTTAAAAAGGGACCAAATTAACTGAGTGAATGTAAATTGACCTTCTTCTCCAGTTAATCAGAAGCAGCTTTATGGGTAGATTCACTTCGCTCAACTAGATACTGAAGACAATCTCCCTGGTTTTATTGCTGGATGGAAAAATGTATAGAGTTTATCAGAACCATTCGAACAAAATATTCTTTAGGGCGACCGTTCATGTCGGGGCATTGACAGGAAGAAATAGTGTGATTTAAAACACGAATATACCAGAAACTAATATCATCTTGAAGCAAAGAACATACATTTTCAATGTTTAAGAATGCTTTTTCCTTGATACAAAGCAAGTGGCTATAGCTTTTTTATCACTACAGGTAAAGAGCAGAATTCCTTGACCACGCCGACCAATAACAACACTCTTTGAAAAATACACCTAGTATCCTGACTTTACCAGTGAGGAGAAACTCAAGGTGGGCAGTGACGACCGTCCTATTGTTGGCCCCCAGTAACTCCAATCTATTTAAAGAATGGTTACCGTTGGTTGAGTTGTGGCGGGCAGGGTTCTCAACTACGGCTAGCAAACTAAGGCAGCACCCAACTGTCACTCAAAGAGCCAGAATCACTCATACATTTAAAGCTTAAATTGATTACTTGTGTAAAGATTCAGCCCACTCAAAGTTAAATGGGGAAATTAGCTACAGGGACCAACAACATTTGTTGTACCAGGCTGTAAACATGTTTATTTTTGCATGGAGGTCTTTGGGGATTGAATGCCATTTGGACCTGGCCCAAAGTGGACATTTAATGACCTGCAGTTTTTGGCACTTGCACATAGGCTTCACTGCTCAGCCCCAGAGCTTGGCGCATCCAAGCATGTAGTAAACGGTTGTTATTTGTCTTACTGACTCCAGGTGATGTAAGGGGCATAGGTTTATCATAGGCTTTTCATGTCAACTTTTAAGAAACTTTTAGAAACCTTCAGACCTATTTTTTGGCAGAAATGTCTGACTGTTTGGTGTTGCAAGTGAACCGCACTCGAACACCAGACACACTTACACCTGATTTGACCTCTTCTAGCACTTTCAAATTGACCTCATGAAGGTCCCTCTCACTAAGCCCTGTATGTGTCTAGACTATACAAATCGTGAGTGACAGTGAAGTGATGTTGGCTGTGGCTTTTATCTGGTTGCTCAGCCTGAGAAAAGCTTTCATTGTCTGGCACTGTGCGGTGGCTGTCAGTCAGTCAGTTTGTCCATGTGTCATTCAAAAACACGGAGAGTACGGCGTAGCAGCAGCAACTCGCTTTTGTATTTACTAAGCAGAAACAAGCTATTATACGAACACCAGTGTTCAACCTACCATTGTCTTGGCGGGGCACTGCGCCCTGCCAACGGAGCCCCGCGCCCTGCCTGAAATTCAAGGTGTTTTTTTTTTGTTTGTTTTTTTATTTAAAATTATTTTTGTATTATTTAAAATATATATATATATATATATATATATAGCACCAAATTGCTACGGTCACTTTTCATATTGAACATGTGCTCTTTTATTAAATAAACTAAACGCCTATGTTATTTATCCAATGTGCATGTTTCAGTGTCCACAGCCTTGCGTATTCACATTCTCCCTCCGCTCCCCCCCGCACACACACACACACACACACACGCGAATGCACACACTCACAATCAGAGACAGAAAACGTTTGGAAAGTAACACTTTTCTCGAGATGAAAAGTTGCAAAAAAAGGGTTTAAAGGGCCCGAAAACGGCCCGGACCAAAAAATGAAAAGTGTGACAAAATGAGTGAAGTTTTTTTTGTTTTTTCTTTAAAATTTGAAAGTTCTAAAAAGGGTGAGTTAAGTTTTTTTGGGTTCAATTTTAATTTAATTTAAAGTTGTTAAATTTTGGGAGGAAAAACAGGAAGACGACAACTTTGGATTTTGGGTGATTTTTTCCTCTTTGTTAAAAAAAAAAGTTTTTGTGTATATATTTTTTTAACGATGAAAAAAAAAGAGGTAAATATTTTTTTTCGCAAAGTAGGCAACCCTTATAACTAAGTGGGTAAAAATAAAGAGAAACGATTTTAAAGAGAATTTTGAACTTTTTTAAATTACCCTTTTTTTTTTTTTTTGTAATTTTTTTTTTTTTTTTTTCCGAAAAGGGTAAGAAAGTAAAATTTAGGGGGTGGACAAAAAAGTAGAGAATTTTAAAGGGAAAAGAAACTTGGGACTTTAATTTTTTTGGAAAAAAGGTGCCATTGCCAGCGGTTTTTTTTCGATTTCCGGCCCGCGGTTTTTTTTTTTTTGTTGGGAGGTACATTTTAAGTTTTTCTTCACCCCCAGTTTAAAATTTAGTTTCCCCGGTGCGTCGTTTTTCCCCCCCTTGTTTCAGGGTTCCATCAATGTTTTAGAACGGGGAGGAATTTCCCTTGCTTTTTTCTTTCCCCGTTAAGTTTTTACCGGGGGAAGCTCCCGGGCAAAAGTCTCCCCGACTTTAATTTCACGGTTGAAAAACAAACAAAGTCCCCATTTAAGGTTTTTTTTTTTTGTTGTCCAACGAGTTTTTTCGTTCCCGTTTCCCTGGCCCCTTCCCCCTGAAGGGAACTCCCCCCGGTGCCAAAATGCTCTCATTCCCCTGACAATTTCTGGTTTTCGCGAGCGTATTATTTCCTAACGTGGCAAACCTTCGCTAAACCTAACCCCCTCTATCCCTTTTTTCCACACTCCTTTTTTACCGGAAGTTTTTTTGTTTTTCCTTTTCGTTTATTTTTTTTTTTTTTTTTTTTTTTTTTTGGATGTTTTTTTTCTTCCCGTCCTTAAACCCAATTTTTCGAATTTTCGAAATTCTAAATTTTTGAATTTTTTTTCGATAATTTTTTTTTTTTTTTTTTTTCCAAAGTTATTAAAATGATGAAAAAAATGACTTTAAAAATTGACCGGAATAAAAACGGTTTTTGGAAGAATTCATTTTTTACCCGCGAATCTTTTTTCGTTTTCCCTTTTTGTTAGACCCCCTCGATCCCAAATTAACGACAAAAATGGTAAATTAGATTTTTTTTTTTCTTTTGTTTTTTTTTACCTTCCCTTGTTTTTTTTTTTTTTCCCCGAGTTTTTTCGAAAACTTTCATAATTAGCCACAAACTTTTTTTTTATTTTTTTTGCAATCTTAAAGAGGCTTATTTTTTAAAAAGTCTTTTGTTAATCAACCCGTAAAAAATAACCGTAATGTCCCTAAAACGGTTTTTTACCCGCCTTTTGATCGCCCAACGTTATTGGGTTTTTTAGCCGTTCCTAAACAAAACCGTTTTTATTAAATAACTTCCGCCTTATTTATTTTTTTTTTTTTACCGTCTTTAATGGGTTAGATTTTTTATTTTTCGACGGTTCCTCACGTTTCTTTTAATAATAAATGGGGTTTTGTGAGTTTTCCGTTTTTAATGATTTTTTGGTAAGTCATTTTTTTTTTTTTTTTGCCTTTTTTTTAGTTGGTGAAAGGAAGAAATTTAACCTGGTGGAGAATTTAAACCTTTTTTCTTGTAAGAAAAAACTTTTTTCCGTCTGTAAAAAAATTAAAATATTTGTCCCAAAACCCTTTCCCGAATTTAAAAAAAAAAAGGAATGTTTTTAAAGTTTATTTAAAAACACCTCCCCCGACATCAACAAACATAAAACCCAAAAATTTTTCAAAGGTAAAAAAAAGTTAGTTGCAACAAGTCGGAGGGGAAGAAAAATAAAATTTTTTTTTTGTCAATTTTAAAAATTTTGATTAACCCCCTAAACCTGTTTAAAAAAAGGATTTTTTTTATCCGAAAAATTACTAAATAACTAAAAAAAAAATTTTTTTTGGGTTTTTTTTCGGTAAATTTTTTACCGTTTTCCTGTTAAGTTCCCCGTTTTTTCGGGGTATATTTTCCGGTTCTTTAACCTAAAAAAAAAGGGTTGTTCGGTGAAAAAAAAGAAACCTTGTTTTATTAACTGGACAATAAAAATTTTGACGGTTCCACGGTTTTTGTCCCCAGTTTTTTTTTTTTAGCACGTTTTTTCTCAAAGTTTTGAAAAATGAGAGACTAACCTGCAAGGTGACATCTTATTTTGAAGACCCAAAAATTTAAATTTTGTTTTCGAGATTGTTTTTTTTGGGCTAAGTTCCAAAGTTTTTCAGCTTTCCAAGTTGACCCATTTTTTTTTTTCTAAACCAAGCTTTTTTTTTTTGATTTCCTTTAATTAAGTAAATTGGAAAAGAAAGTTTAACAAGCTCCCCGAACCTTGAATTTTCCAACTTTTTAATTGATTAAAAATTTTTGACAAAAACCCCCCCGAACATTTTTCCACCAAAGGTTTTGTCACTTTTTTTTAAGTACGGACAATTTTTTTTTTTTTTTTCCGTAATAAATTGTTTTTCCCCCGGTTCGACCCCTTTTTCCGCCGTCCGTCCTCCCTCACCCTTTTTTTCCTTTTTTTTCGGTATAAGAAACCAAGAAATGAAAGATTTTAAGATTTTCCTCCCCCTGGTTTCCGTTAGCGTTCAAAACAATTCCGGTT